AATATAATTTGAGTTCAAGTGTTCAATAGGTACACCTTTTAGTTTAAGTGTCTAAATGAAAAACAAATGGGCAAGTTTAAGGGTCTACTTATGTATTCAGCCTTAAATAAAGCTAATTAACCTCATACATGAAAATGGGAAAAGCTAGGCACCGGCAAAATTATCTTTTCCTTCTAACTCAAAAACTATCCATACCTCTCGTACATCTTGTTTTTATATTTTGACTTTTACCTTAGCTACAACTATTTGTTCTTCGTCTCGAGAAATTAAGAATCATGCGAACATAAAAGTACCAAAATAATATAGGTGGAAAGAAATTGTCATTAAGCACCAAGGAAGGAGGACGATTCATGGGCCACTATCGATACCATTACACCCACCGTTACAGTCGACACCATCTCCATCACTTTTTCCTAAAACCATCACTGCCACCCTAACCGGCCGAAATTCAGACCACCAGCGACTACTTTCTTCTCTCCCTCGCCTTCTTTTGTCTTCCTCACATATATAAAACCCATTTCTTTCAGATAACCTACTTATATAGCCATTGACACACCTATTCATGATTGCTTTGAAGATTTTATTGGGTATGACATGATTAAAAGTTGAACAAGTTTGATCCCATGAATCAACAAGATTCATAGATCTCATTTTACTGAAATTTGTGGTATATAATTCTGCTAGAAATTAAGCTTAAAATAACAATTTATAAAAAAAATTAAAATGGAGTACATTGGAGTGATGAATCTAGACTACGGTGGGTATTAAGCATAAAATAACAATTTATAAAAAAGTTAAAATGGAGTACATGGGAGTGATGAAGCTGGACTGCAGTGGGTATTTTCACGTGGGGATTGGGCGTTTAATGAAGGATCCCAAAGGGAAGGTGGAAAAAAAGGGTGTGATGATGTGTCATTTTCTGATTTGTAACACTGCCACCTTAGTCGTGTTTGAACCTCACGCATGAAGTATTTTGGCTTGCTGCAAAAAGTGTGTCTAATTGGCACAATATAATTTGAGTTCAAGTGTTCAATAGGTACACCTTTTAGTTTAAGTATCTAAATGAAAAAAATGGGCAAGTTTAAGGGGCTACTTATGTATTCAGCCTTAAGTAAAGCTAATTAACCTCATACATCAAAATGGAAAAAGCTAGGCACCTCCAAAATTGTCCTTTCCTTCTAACTCAAAAACTATCCATACCTCTCCTACATCTGGTTTTTATATTTTGACTTTTACCTTAGCTACAACTATTTGTTCTTCGTCTCGACGAATTAAGAATTATGCCAACATAAAATATCAAAATAATATAGGTGGAAAGAAATTGTCATTAAGCACCAAGGAAGGAGGACGATTCATGGGCCACTATCGGTACCATTACACCCACCGTTACTGTCGACACCATCTCCATCACTTTTTCCTAAAACCACCACTGCCACCCTAACCGGCCGAAATTCAGACCACCAGCGACTACCTTCTTCTTTCCCTCGTCTTCTTTTGTCTTCCTCACATATATAAAACCCATTTCTTTCAGATAACCTAGTTATATAGCCATTGACACACCTATTCATGATTGCTTTGAAGGTTTTATTGGGTATGACATGATTAAAAGTTGAACAAGTTTGATCCCATGAATCAACAGGATTCATAAATCTCATTTTACTGAAATTTGTGGTATATAATTCTGCTAGAAATAAAGCTTAAAATAACAATTTATAAAAAAATTTAAAATGGAGTACATTGGAGTGATGAATCTAGACTACGATGGGTATTAAGCATAAAATAACAATTTATAAAAAAGTTAAAATGGAGTACATGTGAGTGATGAAGCTGGACTGCAGTGGGTATTTTCATGTGGGGATTGGGCGTTTAATGAAGGAGCCCAAAAGGAAGGTGGAAAAAAAGGGCGTGCTGATATGTCATTTTCTGACTTGTAACACTGCCACGTCAATCGCGTTTGAACCTCACGCATGAAGTATTTTGGCTTGCTGCAAAAACTGTATCCAATTGGCACAATATAATTTGAGTTCAAGTGTTCAACAGGTACACCTTTTAGTTTAAGTATCTAAATGAAAAAAATGGGCAAGTTTAAGGGGCTACTTATGTATTCAGCCTTAAATAAAGCTAATTAACCTCATACATGAAAATGGGAAAAGCTAGGCACCTCCAAAATTGTCTTTTCCTTCTAACTCAAAAACTATACATACCTCTCGTACATCTGGTTTTTATATTTTGACTTTTACCTTAGCTACAACTATTTTTTCTTCGTCTCGAGAAATTAAGAATCATGCGAACATAAAAGTACAAAATAATTTAGGTGGAAAGAAATTGTCATTAAGCACCAAGGAAGGAGGACGATTCATGGGCCACTATCGGTACCATTACACCCACCGTTACTATCGACACCATCTCCATCACTTTTCCCTAAAACCACCACTGCCACCCTAACCGGCCGAAATTCAGACCACCAGCGACTACCTTCTTCTTTCCCTCGTCTTCTTTTGTCTTCCTGACATATATAAAATCCATTTCTTTCAGATAACCTACTTATATAGCCATTGACACACCTATTCATGATTGCTTTGAAGGTTTTATTGGGTATGCCATGATTAAAAGTTGAACAAGTTTGATCCCATGAATCAACAAGATTCATAAATCTCATTTTACTGAAATTTGTGGTATATAATTCTGCTAGAAATTAAGCTTAAAATAACAATTTATAAAAAAATTTAAAATGGAGTACATTGGAGTGATGAATCTAGACTACGATGGGTATTAAGCATAAAATAACAATTTATAAAAAAGTTAAAATGGTGTACATGGGAGTCATGAAGCTGGACTGCAGTTGGTATTTTCACGTGAAGATTGGGCGTTCAATGAAGGAGGCCAAAGGGAAGGTGGAAAAAAATGGTGTGTTGATGTGTCATTTTCTGATTTGTAACACTGCCATGTCAATCGCGTTTGAACCGCACGCATGAAGTATTTTGGCTTGCTGCAAAAAATGTGTCCAATTGGGACAATATAATTTGAGTTCAAATGTTCAATAGGTACACCTTTTAGTTTAAGTGTCTAAATAAAAAAAATGGGCAAATTTAAGGGGCTACTTATGTATTCAACTAAATGATTAACTAGCAATTTTTATGAATTTGTTGTTTGTGGAAAGGCGATCATTGAAATAGTACGATGAATCACTACAAAAGTTTTCCTTCCACTCAAAATTTTCTTTCTCTGTAGTTTTACTTTTTTTCAAAACTCCTTTCTTTAAGCTACAATATAAGAACAGACAGATGGGAATGTAATTTAAAGGAAAAATAACATTATATGCCCGTTGTAAAAATATTAACCAAAAAAAATGTATAAATTATATATATATATGTATATATATATATGTATATATATATATATATATATATATATATATATACACGTTCTGTATGTTGTATACAAAATTATATAAATTTTATATACTTTTTTGGCTAACAGATATAAATAATTTCTGACGCGAGCTAAAAGTGATAATACCCCTAATTTAAATGTTAATAGTACTTATGTGGTTTTTTTTTTTTGTAGTTGGTTGGTAAAATTCTAATGAAAGTGAAAGGCAGTTAAATATGCACTTACTTTCTAGTTCTTCTCGTTGGAACTTGAACAAATTAATACTATAGTTGATTAGTTTATCATTTTTGTAAATACAATTTCCCGCATAATTAAAATTTCATACATTCTTATCAAAAAATAGTAATTCAACAAAGATTAAATGAGTTGGTTAAATTGCATCTTAAAAAGCAAAAACAATAAACTTTAAACAAAAATATCTAAATTATTAATCAAATTTAAGGCCTCTTATCATGGCTTGCCTTTAGGCGTCCAACAACGTTTATCCGCCTCTGTATTTTACTAGTTCTCTATTAACTTGTCAAACTTCTCAATAAATTATTCATTAAGAATTTATTTTACCAAATTACTGAATTACCCTTCTCAATGGTTATTAAATTTGTACCTCCAATAAATATCCTAGATAAGTACTTAATCCTAAGGGTAATATTGAAAGAAAATAATAAATCTCTCTTGAATTGTTAAACTGAACAAAAAAATTATTTTTAGTGTAAGCGGCAAATAAAAGGAACATACGGAGTAGTTGAACAATAAATTAGGAATTTGAGTATTACTAGAGGGTTCATAATTTGTGCTTTATCATTACTTTATCAAATATAAGTATTATGCTATACATTAAAATTATAAATCAAATTACAAAAACAAAAAAGAAGAAATTCACTACATAAATGTTAGCATATATTAATATGGGATTTTTTCCTAACTATACCATATATGAAACCTTATTACCAAAAATGTGCATAGTTTGTATATTACCCGCCCAGTCCACACTTTAACTACAATTTATATACCAATCGTTAACCAGGCAGAATCTGCCATTTATAGCGCGCGAAAAATCAGTCACAGAATCTGGGATTGATTTATTTCAAATTAAATTCAAAATTTGAAACATATAGGAGATCTGGAAGCTGCGTAATTCTCTCTGAAACTACAATTCAAAAAAGTACGCAGAGCTTCAAAAGCTTCAACAAACAGAATACAAATTGTAGAATTCAAAACTGTTCTTCATCGTTCTCAGTAATCAAATTGTCGATCGTATATCTGTTCTTCATCTTTTTTCTCTCAACTACACGAAATCATGTCAAAAATCCCAATCATGCTACAATTGAATGGGAATTGGGATAACTATGGCAGATTTAGAGATTTTGAAGTTGATGCCATTGTGGTAGATGAGAATGCAAGCTACAGAATTCTGATTTCTACAATTGCAGAACAACTATCGATTGATACATCAGAAAAAATTGTAGAAAATCAAATACATGGTGAATGACAATTGTCCTCCGATGGAGATTAGGAATGATATGGGGGTTCGTGTGTATATGGAGACCAAAAAGGAGAATAAAAACTTAGGTTCGTATCCTTTATGTATAAGTGTAAGAGATTTCAATATGGAATTGGCAATCACCAACGATAGCACAACTGCAGGTTTGTATAATTCGACATTGCATAGAGTTATGGTTTTAGTGTGTTATCTACAATATTACTACATTTACCTACAATTAAACTACAAAAACAATGTGCTGAAGAGTATAAAGCAATGTTGTTTTCAAAATTATCTACTTAGTTGCTACGTTTATCTGTATGTTGATGCAGGTTCGTCTGGATCCCTAAAGTTACTTGATATTCCATCCTCTCCAGCTATAGAGGAATATCAAAGTGAAACAATAACAGAATCTACGCAAACATATATTGAAGAAGGACAAGTGTATCAGGACAAGCAAACTATAGTTGCTGCAATGAAGAACTTTTCTGCGATGCACAAGTTCCAGTTCAGAGTAAAAAGATCTAGTCATAGAAGGTATGGAGTTATTTGTGGAGAAAAGATCATTAAAAGCAGTGTTTTAGTGAATATATGAGGTTTTTATAAATTGTAGTTAAATTGTAGTGCAATTGTAATTAAATTGTAGTTTATAACGATTTATGTTAAAACAGTCCTTTTGTTGCATCTACATTTATAGTATGTATTAAATATTATATTTTTTTGTAGCTACTGGCTTGTATGCGTTGCTGAAAACTGTAAATGGCACTTCAAGGCAATGTCAATTAATGATTCCGCAATGTTCAAGATAAGGAGTTTCATCCGACAATACACATGCTCCTTAATGGACGAAGCATTCATACAGCGCAAACGTACTGCAGCTGTAGTTGGTAGCATGGTCGTTCCAAAGTATTGTGATCCTAAGACTGTTTACACACCAAAGGACATACAAACTGACATGTTATCCGAACATGGACTGAACCTAAGCTACATGCAAGCATGGAGAGCAAAGGAAAAGGCTTTACAGTTTTTGAGAGGGAATCCGGCTGACTCCTACAGCAAATTACCCAAATATTTTTATATTCTCGAGGAGACTTATCCTGGTTCTGTTGTTAAATTGAAGAAGGCAGCAGATGACTGCTTCTATACGCATTTGTTGCTTTTTGTACATCAATAAGTGGTTGGCAACATTGTAGGCCAGTAGTAGTGGTTGATGGGACATTCTTAAAGTCAGCCTACAGGGGGATTATGCTGACAGCAAGCACCATGGATGCAGCAGGTAAAAAGTGTAAGAATTTTGTAGTTATTTTGTAGGCAGTCTATAAAATGTAGTTAAATTGTAGTAATTTTGTAGTTATTACATGAAATGTAGATAATTTGTCTATATTCTGAATATATATTGTAGTTGTTATTTAATTATATTTTTATATACATTTTCAAAGCTGCCAATTAATATTTTATGAATTAATAATGTAGGTACAATATTGCCCTTGGCATATGCTGTGGTTGATTCTGAAAACGACGCATCTTGGAAGTGGTTCTTTGAGCAATTCAAGCAGGCATATGGTGAAAGACCTTCAATGTGTGTTATTTCAGATAGGAATGAGAGTATACTGAAGGCAACATCAATTGTCTATCCGGGCATGCCACACTACTCTTGCATGTGGCATATTTGGACAAATATAAGGTCCAAATTCAAGAAGGCACATCTACAATTACATGAATTTTACTTTGCTACAGCACGGTCATACACTCTGGATGAATTTAATGAAAGGATGTCGAAGATTGAAGAGGTAGACCCGCGTGTGAAATTTTACCTATATGATATTGGCTATCATAGATGGTCAAGAGTTCATGCAACGGTGAATAGAACTTTTACAATGACATCAAACATTGCCGAGTCGTTGAATGCTGTAACAAAAGAGGCAAGAGAGCTGCCAATATTTGACCTATTAGAGTATATGAGGACACTTCTTGAACGTTGGACGAAAGAGAAGTTATTGAAGGCAAAGGGTAATTTCACATACCTTGGGTACAAATACAACAAAGAATTGGACGACAACAGAACATTATCTTACAAGCTTAGGGTAAGATCTGTCTATTTGGTGCAGAAAAAATAAATTACTTAATATACAGTGTTTCCAGATTGTAGATAAATTGTAGTCAAATTGTAGATAATTGTAGGTTGTAGAGAAGGTGTAGAATATTTGTAGCTGATTTGTAGATAAGTTGTAGATAATCTATTTTTATGATTCATATAATATTTTTTCTGTTTGTTCTGCAATTGTAGGTGAGGGCTTCAACAGATCATATACATACTGTGTTAGATGGTGTGAAGCGGTATATTGTGTGTCTAGAAAACAAGAAATATAGCTGTGGACAATTCCAACTTGAAGAACTTCCATGTGCGCATGCGTTGGCAGCATTAAGGCACAGGAACGAAACATATGAAAACTATTGCTCTCCGTAATACACAAGGAAGAGCCTTCTGCATAGGTATGAAATACCAGTAAATCCTCTTCCTGATGAAAGCAAATGGAATGTGCCACAACATATTCTGGATGAGGTAGTAAAGCCACCGGCGGGAGATAAAAGGCAGCCAGGGAGACCTCAAAAGGAAAGATATAAAACATATGATGAAATAAAGTCAAAGAAGTACAAAATGTCATGTGGAAATTGTGGAGGTGAATGGCATAACAAAAGAACTTGCAAGAATGCACCCAAAAAGAAATGAATATCATATAGCTAGAATACTAATTCAAAATAAATGTTAGTGAGTTCAAGTTAGCAGATTTTTTGTGTAATCGTTTAAGTTTTTGAAGATCATCATGAAGTATACTACAATTTGTGTATTTGCGTGTAACGACCCGACCGGTCGTTTTTGAAATTTACGCCCCGATCCCCCATTAACTGCTTCCCCTAAGTTTATTTCTGCTATTTTGGTTTGCCGGGACGTTTGGTGTTAGGATTCGGAGTGTTTTGGGACACTTAGTCCCTAAATGAGAGCTTAAGTGTTGAAAAATGGTCCGTAATCAGAACAGTGTGAAGACGACCTCGGAATGGAAATTCGATGGTTCTGTTAGCTCCGTTAGGTGATTTCGGGGTTGGGAGCGTGTTCGGAATGTATTTTGGAAGCTCGTAGCTCATTTAGGCTTGAAATGCCGAAGTTTGAATTTTTGAAGTTTCCGGTCCGATAGTGAGTTTTTTATCCGAGGGTCGGAATGGAATTTCGGAAGTGACAGTAGCTCCGTCATGTCATTTGGGATGTGTGTGCAAAATTTCAGGTCATTCGGGCGAGGTTTGGTTAGTTTTTTTATCGAAAGTGTGTTTTGTTGGAATTTGAAGTTCTTAGGCTTGAATCTATGATTAATTCGTGTTTCCGGCATTGTTTTAGGTGGTTTAAGGATTGGTACAAGTTTGAATGATGTTATGGAATATGTCCGTAGGTTTGGTTGAGGTCCCGGGGGTCTCGGGTGTGTTTCGGATGCTCAACGGGGCATTTTAGTGTTTGAAAAATTGCAGTAAAATTCTCAGCTGTTGCAGGTTTGATTTCCTTCTTCGCGTTCGCAAAGCTTCGATCGCGTTCGCGTAGGTTTGTCTTACTCCTCTTTCGCGTTCGCGGCCCCCTCTCACGCGTTCGCGTAGTGTAATCCTGGAGGGGGGCCAATTTCCTTATACGCGTTCGCGTACCCACCCCCGCGTTCGCGTACCCACCCCCGCGTTCGCGTACCCACCCCCGCGTTCGTGTAGTTTCAGCACTTTCCCCATCGCGTTCGCATGTACAGCTTCGCGTTCGCATAGGGTAATTTCTGGCCCTTTCATTTTTCCTTTAATTCGTTCGCGTGCCTTACGTCGCGTTCGCATAGCTCATGACCCCCAGGCCTTCGCGTTCGCAGTCCCACCTTCGCGATCGCGAAGGGCATTTTTGGACACTTAATTTTTCCTTCTCCGCGAACGCGAGCTCCTATCCGCGTTCGCGATGCTTTACGGACCTGAACAGTTATAAACATTTCAAAACGAGGGTTTAGCCATTTTTAACAAAACTCAAGCTAGAGAGCTCGGATTTGGGAGAAATTTCGAAGGTTTTTCAAAGGCAACTACTGGGTAACGATTCTCTACTCCCTTATGCTTAAAACCCACTAATCTAATCACGAATTCATCTATAAATTTCGGATTTTTGAATGAAAATTGGGTGAAAGTTCATAGACCAAACTATTGGGTTTTGAGGGGGCATTTGACCTTCGATTTGGGAGATTTTTATATGGTTAGACTCGTGAGAGTACGAGGGTTCTGAAAACGTGAAAATTATTCGATTCCGAGATATTGGCTGGAGGGGCGTTTTGGTTATTTTACCTATTTTCGTGCCCTAGCTTTAAATTTAATAGTGGAATCAGTTGTTTGCAATATTATTTACGATGTGTAATTGAATTGAATAGATTTGGGCCATTTGGAGTCGGATACTCGTGGCAAAGGCGCGGTTTCTAGTGATATTGAGCCGGTTCGAGGTAAGTGGCTTGTCTAACCTTGTGTGGGGGACCTTTCCCCTTAGGATTTTACTTGATATTTGAGTGCCTTGTGCGAGGTGACGAGCGCGTACTTGAGCCGATTGATGAAATCTCAATTTTTACTTAAGCTATGGGAACTTAGTTCTTATTCTTATTTGCTTGTTCTATTTGGAGTTATGACTTATGCTAGATTAGGAAAAGCATGTTTAGCTGATTTGACTGTCTACTTGCTTAAGTTATTTGACTGCACTACGTGGAGCATGCTAGGCTAGTTCTATCTGTGTTTGTCTTTCGTACTTCATTTCTTAGTTGTTTCTGGTTGTGGTTGCGCATTTACATTGGGACTACGGATGTGGAATTCCGGTAGCTCCCCCCCCTGTCTGTTTACTTTGGGACTACGGGTTCGATTCCCGGGAGATCCCCTTGCACTTTTACTTTGGGACTACGGGACGGTATCCCGGGAGATCCCCCTGCACATTGATGGTTGGACTACGGGACGGTATCCCGGGAGATCCACTGGACAGTTGAGAAAAGGGCTACAGGACGGAATCCTGGGAGACCCTCATTGGTATCTTTGACATTGAGCTATGTTTACTCTGTGTTTTACTCTATCTTTATAGTTATTATTGCCTCGTTGACTTGCCTTATTACACTGCTGTATTTATTATTTCTGTCAGATTTCCACACTGTTAATTATTGTTATTGTTATATTTTGCCTCAGTAGGGCCCTGACCTTCCTCGTCACTACCCAATCGAGGTTAGGCTTGGCACTTACTGAGTACCACTGTGGTGTACTCATGCCCTTCCTGCGCATGTTTTTCCATGTGCAGATCATCCAGGTACCTCTACTCAGGCGCACTATCAGTGAGGCAGGAGGACTACGGAGACTTCGAGGTAGATCTGCTGCATCCGCAGACCGACGAGTCTCCCTCTTACTCTATCTATAGCACTTAGTTTTCTTTCTCCCGTTGTTAGATATTCTGGAGTTTTGGAGCCTTACTATACACTTCTGTAGCCTGTGTTGCCCGTGAGTTTCCGGGTTTTGGGAATTGTTTTAGACTTGTGATATTGAGTTGTACATGCCGAGCGGCATTCATTACAGTTTCCTTTAGATATTTAATTTGATTTTCTCTATTTTTTCGCAATTATTATGTTTCCGCAATAATAGGCTTACCTGGTCATGGGGACCAGGTGCCGTCATGACATGTTCACGGTTGGTGAACTAGGATCGTGACAAGTTGGTATCAGAGCTCTAGGTTCATAGGAGTCACGGAACACAAGCCGGTTTATTAGAGTCTCGCTGATCGGTACGGAGATGTCTGTATTTATCTACGAGAGGCTATGTAACTGTTTAGGAAAAATCTTCATTTCTTTTGAATTCCTTGTCGTGCGATATTTTGACATCAATTCTAAACTTCTGTCTTCTATTCTCTCACAGATGGTGAGGACACGTGCTACACGAGAGGACCAGGCACCCGCGCCTCCTGCTGCCGCCGTCAGAGGCTGGGGCCGGGGTAGAGGTCGAGGACGCGCATGCGGTGCTGCCACAACACCTGCGCGAGCTGCCGCCGAGGTACCACCAGCAGATTTAGCCGGAGCCCAGGCACCTGGCACACCTACCACTGCTACTACTAATCCAGCGCTCCAGAAGACTCTGGCTCAGTTCATGAGCATGTACACCACCTTGGCTCAGGCCGGGTTGCTTCCCTTTGCTGCAGCCACATCCCAGGCCGGGGGAGGAGCACAGACTCCCGCCGCGCACTCCCGAGCAGCGAGTGCAGGTTGAGCAAGCTCCGGAGATCATTCCTGCACCGCCTGCAGCACCAGTTCGGCCCGAGGATGGGTCAGCTGCTTCAGAGGACGAGCAGCGTAGACTAGAGAGGTTCAAGAAATATGATCCCCCAGTGTTCAGTGGCTTAGCATCAGATGAAGCCTTGGGATTTTTGGAGGAGTGTCATCGTATCCTTCGCACTATGGGCATAGTGGAGTCTAGCGGGGTTTCTTTCACCGCCTTTCAGCTTCAGGGAGCCGCCTATGATTGGTGGCGTACTTATGAGTTAGACAGTCCAGTCGAGGCTGCTTCACTGACTTGGACCCAGTTCTCAGACATGTTTATGAGATAGTTTGTTCCCCAGAGCCTTAGGGATTCATGGCGCGCGGAGTTTGAGCATTTGCGCCAGGGTGCTATAACAGTTTCAGAGTATGCCATCCGTTATACCAGGTTGGCCAGGCATGCTCCGCCCTTGGTTGCCACAGTTCGGGAGAGAGTTCGCAGGTTCATCGAGGGCCTTATCCCACCCATCAGGTCCAGCATGGCTCGAGAGTTGGAGATGGATATTCTTTACCAGCAAGTAGTGAGCATTGCTAGGAGGATTGAGGGTATGGTCGCCAGGGAGCGAGGGGAGAGGGAGGCCAAGAGGTCTCGCGAGTCGGGTCACTACTCTGGTGCCCGTACCCCATCAGCAGGTCGTTATGGTAGGGGTTATTCTGGCCGCCCTGTACATTCAGCTTTGCCAGCAGCCGGCAGTACTCCAGCTCCGCCTGCACCTCAGGAGCCTTATTATGCGCCTCCAGTTTCTAGCGCGCCTCCTGCGCGGGGTACTTCCAGAGGTCAG